TTTTGGATTGTCGTTTTGGTATCTTCTGCCTCTTTTTTCTTGCATTTATTGTTGTTTTAGTTTGTTTTCTGTGTTGTTTCTATCTGTGACGGTCTTCTCTATCCTTTGTCTTGAAAATATGATAGTGTTTCTATCTAACTTTTACACGCAGGCAGGTACTATCGCAAGATAATTTTGCATGTACTGAGTTTTAATAAATAAGTTAATGTCATACCAAGTATAACCGACGTGTGTCACAGGTACGGCAGGAATAACTACGTTATACTGGAACACAATAATTCATTTTGTCGAATTTCAGTTCCCCCACGGATTTTGTGGCCTTCAATGTTATGTAAATTGGTTAAAAGACTGTTGTTTTTCTTTTTACTCTTATGACTTTCGTTTACTTTCCCCTTGGTTTCTTCTTATTTTTAAATGATCTTCAATTATGTATGACATATGTAAAGGCAAAAGTAGTATACCGCTATCAATAGTCATAAATCATTTAACTGAAACAAATCCGGGTCACAAACCAAAACCGAGGGAAACACATCAACTATAAGAGGAAAACAACGGAACAACATAAGCACTGAACTGCTACAAAAACAAACGCCAACATACATAGAAACGGACTATTTGATAATACTTTATTTATTATTATCAAACATGTCAGTTTATTTTTTTGAGTTTATCTATTATTTTCATTGCACATCAAGTACATATTATAGTCTCATGTTATGAAAATGCTAACTAATTAAGAAATAAGTGCCATTGTATATGTAGTCTTTTTAAAAAATGAAAACAACACTGTATAAATTTTATGCGTCCGAAGCTGTTTAAACTATTTATAAAATAACAGGGTACTGTTTATTAGTTGAATAATTAGTGGCAAAAAGTTCTCTTCCAAGTAGAACTCTTCAATGATTGCTATGTTTGCTTCAAGGACGCCATTGATTACATATATCCGTTCATATGAAAACGGTTGGTAAAATGTAAGAATTAAAACAAATAATAATCAGTCCACTTTAAATGTTAACTTGAAACTTATTGATCGACTGCAACAAATTTAAGTAAATTCATAAGGACGAAAACTGATTGATCGACTGCAACAAATTTAAGTAAATTCATAAAGACGAAGACACGAAAGAATTGAATGGAGAAGACCGTGCATGTATATATTCTAAAGTCGTGACGACAGAGACCAAGATATGTTTAAAATCACAGTTAAATGTTTTGAAGGATAAACTTGTAATTATGTTTTTCTTGCCTCTTTAAAGTGACATAAATTTTTCTTGTTATATGCACAATAGTACAGTATTCTTATATTGAAAGTTCATGTAATGAGAAGTTTTGGCTTTGAACTTTTGTAAATTTCGGGTAAAGGTATCATGGTTGGGACTAGCAGGAACACTCTGACAATTTTGTATGTATATAATTCAATTCATGAAATTTTTGATTAATATGTAGCAAAAATTTACATTTTTAACATACCAGTTTAACTAAATGCAACAGTAGTATACTGCTGTTCGATATTCATAATTCGATTAAGCAAAAACAAATCCGGGTAACAAACTAAAACCGAGGGAAACACATCAACTATAAGAGGAAAACAACGGCACAACAGAAACACTGAACTACAACAAAAGCAAACGCCAACATACATAGAAACGGACTGCCTAATAACAACTGCCATGGTCCTGACTTGGTACAGGACATTTTAAGAAAAAATGGTGGGTTGAACCTGGTTTTATGGCTAGCCAAACCTCCCGCTTATATGACAATGTTAAAAATACCGATAAAATGACAACACTACGTGACAGGAATACAGTACAAACAAACGCAAGAACACTCAGCACAGAGAAATACATAAATAAATAATATAATAGTACATTACAACATGTAAATCGCAGAATAACAACGGACACCTTCCATGAATTTACGACAGCACACAAAGTCACCACAAACGAAATATAAAAGAGGGACGATAGATACCAGAGGGACAGTCAAACTCATAGATCGAAAAACAAACTGACAAAAAATAGTACAGATGACACAGCATAGAAAACTAAAGTCTAATCAACACGAACCCCACCAAAAACTGGGGGTGATCTCAGGTGCTCCGGAAGGGTAAGCAGATCCTGCTCCACATGTGGCACCCGTCGTGTTGCTTATGTTATTACAAATCCGGTAAATAGTCTAATTCGGTAGGTCATATTCGTGAAAAGGGAAGGGTATTGTAGTTACGACATAAGGAATATATCCGATATCATCTGTGAAACGGTTATTCCATAACGGTCAATCAACTCGTGATGGCGTCAGTAAAATTTACGCAGGGATGGTTTCAACTTCACCATTTGGAACTCTTGGTTTAATAGCTTCCTTGTGAGCAGCAATCCTCTATCAAGGAAATCATGATAGGAAATACAAGTCCGGGAATATCGTATCAATTGGGAGATATATACTTCGTATGCAGGCGCTGCTGGAATGTTGCTACATAAAAATGGAAAGTTCACAATTGGGAAGCTGAAATCATCTCTTTTGTCGTAAAGTTTTGTTTTCAACCGACCCTCATTGTCAATTTCTAGATGTAAGTCAAGATATGAGGCAGACTTAACTGTATCTGTAGTATCCTTTATCTCTAGTTCGATGGGATAGATTCGTTCAACATAGTCACCAAATTTTGTATTATTTAGTGAGAGAACATCATCTATATAGCGGAACGTAAAGTTAAAGGATATTGCTAACTTCTTATCTTTCTTCCTAAGAAGTTCCTGTATGAAGTCAGCCTCATAATAATAAAGAAACAAGTCGGCAAGAAGAGGGGCACAATTGGTTCCCATTGGAATTCCGACAGTCTGTTGAAAAACACGTCCTCCAAATGTAACAAATATGTTGTCAATCAAGAAATCAAGCATCTTGATAATGTCAGTTTCAGTGAATTTTTTTTTTTGAATCAGAGTGATTCTTTACAAAGTAGGATTTATCCCTCCCCAAGACAAGATACTTGTATCTACGTTCGCTATTCTTTTTAATGAAACTAAGTAAACTGCGCGTCACATGATTGAATCAACGTCACAAAAAGTGTTTTTTGTGACGTTTATATTATCACAGGTAAATTTCTAAAAATAAAATAGATTTGTTTTATTTATAGACACGTACAAGATATACCACAAACTTCCGATGTATTTTTCTCGAAATGTTATTTTTTTATCGTAAGGATTCTGACTCATTGACAAATACCCCACGTTTCTTCTATTCATATTTAACCAGACTTTGATACTGACTCAATAAGAATGCAAATCATACAGCATAAAATAGTGTAAAAACAAATTATAATTACAATTATCAAAGCGTAAAACGAAAACACTAGAAACTAAATTACATTCAATATTAAAGGTTGCACTTTGTAAATACAGCTGTTTCTCAAGCTACGTCTCTTATCTTATTCATATGCGTTTCCCTCAGTTTTACTTTGTAACCCGGATTTGTTTTTATCTCTATCGATTTATGAGTTTCGAACAGCAGTATACTACTGTTGCCTTTATAGATATTTTGTTTTGTTTACCTACTGGTTTCCAGAAATGATCTCTATGTTTCATCTCATAGAGACATAATTTGGGAACGCTACCAGTATAAAAAACACATGGTAGCGGTGAAAATTGAAAGCTAAGGGTAGTACAGAATTTTAGTATAAGTTTAAACTCTTAGAAGTTCGGGGCATATAAATGTTGAAAATATGCCGAACAGCCCTATGTTTTGACCTTTGAATAAAAAAGTAGTGCATATCAACTTTCCGTTCTAGGATATAGTTTTTTACGAAACTTCATAGTAAATGTGGCACAGTTTTAGCCGCAAAAGAGTTCCTATGGGAAATTGCATTGTCTATATTTACAGAAGTGCAACCTTAATGAAATAAAACAAAAACTTGCTGCTTGCTTCTAAATATATTAAGGAAGGATTATCATCGTTCTATTTCATTTCATTATCTGTATTTATTTTTTTAATTGAGGAAACAGTAAGTTGTATTGAACTTAGATTATCTTAAAGGTGCAATAGCTGGCAAATTCATGTTCACCGATTTGACTCAAATTCTCATATTTAATTTATAACATACTAAAACGTGTATCCAAATTATAAAAAGTCTTGAAAAAAACAATTTACGATGCATACACTCAATAATATGTATCAGCATTTAGTGTATATTTTAGTCTAGACACCATGTGATTAACCATCGAGGGGACATCCGAAGACTGCCGATGGTCATGTAACCCGAAATAAACATAAATAAAAATATAGCTAGATAGCGAACACGTGCAATTGGATTTTTCTAGGTCTGTTTGATTTCTTAATTTAGGTTAAAATAATGTAATCATCGTTTTTACTTGTATAAGAATGAGTTTTTGTGGATCGAATCAGTCAAACCAAATGGTTTACCCTTGTTTCACTTTTAATGTTGACATATTTTTCCTTTTAATAGTTGAACGCGCATAGTTTATGCGTAACCCATCTCTAACTATGAGTTCAAATTGAAGGTCCCTTGAATACGGATACATATGATCGAATTATTCACTCGCAAGTGAATAATTCATCAGCGATGTTTCTTAGCTTTTTTCGACAAATTTAAACTAAACAGGCTGCTAAAAGCGAATTAATATTTCACTATTTCACTTACATAAATGATTGAACAAGTGAAACCTATTTTAATTTATTTTTTTTATATCTCGTAGTTAATGCCCCTCTAAATATCATTCCTGATTCAAAGTTTGGTATTTACTTTGTGGTGGGGAAAATCATATTAAAAAGATGTATGGCTTTTTTCTCTTTTTCCGTGTTTTCCCAAACAGTAAAGTTGATACGGCCTTAGAAGAAATGATTTATTTCACTTCAAATATTTCACTGACCTATTCAATGTGTTTTTAAAAGTAAACGATGCATTAACGGGTAAGTTTTGAAGTTAAAGTAATAAAGAATGTTTCAATAAGTATGGGATGGTCTTTTCTATCATTTACCAATAACGATCATTAAGATGTAGAATTTTATAAAGAAAATTACATAGAACAAATCACACTTAAAATTATGCTGAACTGATAAATATTGTGTCTTTTTCGCCAATATTTGTTGATTGTGACCTCAATGACGGAATGTGTTCTTTTGGTACTTGCAGTGACGAATTTTTTTCGATTGTAAGAGGCTTATCCGTGTGGTAAGTTGTCGTTGGATTACTTATCATAGAATCGGGTCCTATGGATTCAACCAAAGTCTTTTGTTTGGTATTTGGACCCACAGCATTGCTTTTTGTAAATGACAGTGAATTTTCAGTCGTATCTGTCCTCCTTTGAAAAATGCGTTTGATATCACCATGGATGAACCTATAGAGTATAGGATGAATAACGGTGGATAAAAAGACGACTGTGAGTGAAACGAGGTGAGTACCATTCACCGCAGTACTGGGTGGGACAACCATCTCTATTAAACTGACTGTTATAAATAATGTCCAACAGAACAAGAAACACCCAACAATGGATACGGTAACTTTGAACGCCCTCTTTTCCTGTTGTTGTTTCGAAACTGATTGCAACTTCGAAGTTCCTCCATTGTCTCCCTTTAATTTTAAACGCTTCTTAGCGATTCTGTAAATTCCAACATAGCAAAAAACTATGCCTGTAAATGATAGACCGAATATTCCAAGTGCATATATTTCGTAAATATTATACTCATTATATGATGTTATCAAGTGTTCACAATCTATGAGACTTTTGTTTTCTTCCGCTTTTATTACTTCTGCGATATTGGTACTTTTATAAGCTAGATTGATCCACGGTAGAACAAATCCAACAGTGGCCACAATCCAAATGATCATGACAAATACTTTCGGGTTTTTCCCTGGTTGAAACATTAATGATGCTACCGAGCCATATCTCTCTAAACTAATAAATAGTACATTCACACACAATCCACTAGCAGAGAAAGCAATAAGTGATTCGTGGAAAAAACACAACATTTCATTGACGTGAGGCGAATGCATTAATACGGCAAACGTTATCGGGATTAAAAATAAACAAATTGACAAATCAAAAATATGCAGATTTCTTATCAAGTTGTTTCCGGTTGTCATGTTTTTCGACCATTTAGGAGCGGGAAGAAGAAGAACAGCTATGTTAAAAAAGACTCCTGTGCAGAACTCAATCCCAAGAACCAATCCTACAATTATTTTGAATTCCATCAACATTTTTTTTATAACATATTATTGCAATGACGAATCAATTTAAAACAAGTATACATTGGCTATGTCGTTATTTTTTTAAAGTCACGGGCTCTCACAAATTCTCTAAATTGTCCACTGCTTTAAATTCGTTCGAAGTATGTATCCTTTGAAGTTTAACAGTGAAATACCTGAAAAAATAAATACAAACCTTTATTCAAAATATTTTTTATGTAAATGATTATGTACATTAATGACTAATTGAATAATACTATGGTGTGGTTTAAAAAAAATTATATGCTTCCGTTATTTTGCATTGTCCACGTTATGAGTCAAATTACAAACATTAATTCTCAAAATTATATAAAATTGTGCATTTATTATGAAATCACTTTGTCTTACAAATTACAAATTTGCTGGAAATTTTGTGTATGTTCTTCAAACACCATAATGTGTACCAACATATTCGTATTAGTCATTTAATTACATACTCGCATTTAGTTTTTCATGTGTATGAGATTGTTTACATGAAACAACTTATTTGAAAATTTTATCATTTCAGAAATACAATGTATTTTTAAAGTACACTTTATATTAAAGTATTTAACCAGTATCATTGCAAAATCTTTTAACTAGTAAATAAGAAAACGTATGGTTCTGTAGTACGGAATTTCTATTCTAAAGTGCTTCTAACATTATATTGCAAGTTAAAAAAGGTGAAATGCCTTTTTTCAATGATGTATTTAATCAATCTCATTAAAATCATCAGTTAATTTCCGCTACGATACTCTCCACCCTAACATTTGAACCAACTCAATATGAGGTTATGTCCCGACGACCTTTGTGATTGCCAATCAGATAGCGTCTGGAAAAATTAGAGGGAGCGTAGCGTATTACAACATTGGATTTTAATTTTTGAAGCTGTCTCATTTACATATACCCCACATCTTATTTTATTAACATCTTAAATATAATCATTGCAGAGTGTATTACATGTAAACACCAAGAGTCAATTTATTTAGGTTATAAATTTGAAAAAGATGGAGATGTTGATTATTCGTCGATGACACAGTTACCCACATTTATATGTTATACATAAACTCATCATAGATAACAAGATTAAAATTGTGTACGCCAGACGCGCATTTCGTCTACAAATGATACATCAGTGACGCTCGAATTAAAAAAGTTTAAAAGGCCAAATTAATTACGAAGTTGGAGAGCATTGAGAGTCCAAAATTTCCGAAAGGTTTTGCCAAATACAGCTGGGCATACATTCCTGGGGTATAAAATCCTTAGTATTGCAAAAATTTCAAAATGTTGTAAACAGTTGATTTATAATTATGACTATATCAATGATAATTCATGTCTGACTACTTTGTAATAATAATACAAATTCAACTGCACTAGGTGCGCATTTAGACAATTAATGTCTCTCCAGTGATGCTCAAAGCCAAAATGTTTGATATAAGTTATGAACGAAGGGCAATGCAGATTATTCAATCATTCAATAACACAAATTACAGAACATACGTATAATCGAACTAGGCTCTGTATAGTCTATTCGCTTGGAACTTATTGCATAAAAATGAAACTACAATTAATGCTATTGCGGCTAATTTTTTTATGTAGTCTTTCAAATGAACCCACAAATGTTATTGATTAGTCGATCACCGTCCAATTGCAAGTATATAATATTTTATGCCTGTTCAGAACGACATTTCAAAATTTGCATCAAAGTTTGTCCCGTATAGATGTATCAATTACATATACTGAGAAGGAAATGAACGCAGATGGATATCGCTATTAAGTCATGTCACGTAAAAAACATCTACTTGAGATATATATTAAAGTGTAAAAGATATGATCGTTTTCATACTACACACCGTATCAACCCTCAACCAATATAATCCCTCTAGCAGAGCTCTTGGAACTATATTGATGTCTCGGGTTCATACGAGTGTGATATTGAAAAAGTCTTATGATATTCTTTTTTTACCTTCCGGAATAGTGGGTCCTCAATGCTTTTCAACTTCGTATTTTATTTGGTTTATTTAACTTTTTTTAATTCGAGTGACACTGATGAGTCTTTTGTAGACGAAACGCGCGTCTGGCGTACAAAATGTTAATCCTGATATCTATGATGAGTTTATATACATGTGCTTAATGAAATAAGTATGCTGATCAGTACCATCGTTATAAATTATTTGCGGTTTGATACAGACAATATAATTAGTCTTATATCATTTGAATAATTAGGAATCCTGTACTATATTTGGTTAGAAACACTTCCGGTAGAGATTTAATGATATGTAAACTTGATGTGATTCACTCACAAACGAAAATGCCAACTTCTATATATGTTTATTAAGTTTTTGGAGTGAATAACATTCGAAATCCAAACGGATTGATCTGTATCTGAAAATAAACGAATATGTTTACTTCCGACATATTTTAAAATGTTTAAAATAGTAAAAACCTTTCGAATTTTCAGATTTCAGGTAGCTATTTGGCGTTTTAAAATTGAAATCATTTTTAAAAATATGATATGATATTGTCATAACCTAAAAGTCCATACATAAAACTATGATTATTTGAATTGTAGCTCTTAAATAACTACAAAATAACAGCACCATAAAAAAATTCCGTTTTTGAAAAGTTGTAAAAATATCAAAAATAAAGAAATGTTTTTCACTTTCTCTTCATAAATATAAATTTTAAATAAAATTGATTTTTATTTTGTTTTTTTTTTCACTGCAAAAATCTTTGACCAACTTTTTTCCCCAAATAAGTATACCATTGTGCAAAACATAGATCGGTTTTAGAATACCTTTTTAAAAATGCTTACCAGAAGATTGAGATTACAAATCAAACAAAGTTTATCAAATAGCTCAGATCCAGGAAAATGAACTTTCACTTAAACTATCATGATTTCATTATTTTTTTTTCGTTTTTTGTTTTGTACATAAATCAGGCCGTTTGTTTTCTCGATTGAATTGTTTAACATTTGTCATTTTGTGGCCTTTTATAGCTTGCTTTGCGGTTTGTGTTTTGCTCATTGTTTGAAAGCTATACGGCGACCTACAGTTGCTAACCTTTTACGTCATTTTGTCTCCGGAGGAAGGTATTCTAATTAGTAATCATATCACATCTTCTTATTTCTATATTTATATTTATACAAATACCTTTGCCTGTAACACGTCTTTAAAACTTAATAGAATAACGATGTAAATATAACATGTATTTGTGAACATATTAAATTTCTATATGACGTGTATCATGTATCAAATGAATAATCAGTCAGGAAAACAAAAATTGAATATGATATAGTCTTTCAAAATTGTTTAACTTATAAAAGGACAATGCCCTTTTTGTATACAAACACCTTTTTATTTACTACACAATCAAATAATCAGGTAGTTCATGCTATTATTGGTAAATATCACTTAAATCCGTCAAACGATATTTTTCTTCGTGAAGTATATGCATCCGTAGCAGATAAAAATTACAAAATAATGAATATTTATACGTAAACAATAAAGTAAATACAGGAGAAAAACGAGAGTTATAATCATCAATGTCAAGGCAAATGGTACAATTTTAATGCAGAAGGCATCCATTAACTCGTACATTGAATTTTTCTTTTAATGTTTTAGCACCAAAATGTCTATACGGTTGAAAATTGTAATTATTGAATTGCAATTTATTTCATTTAGAACGTAAAACAAATATGGAATACAGTAATATATCACTACTGCAAACAAACTAAGCTTCAAATTAAGTAAGGGAAGTCATCAGTTTAAAAAAAAATAATATTAAACTGTTGTACAAGCTTTGCTTTACCATAGAGCGGTAATTGTATGAATACTGATGAATATTATCCCTGATCCTAATGTTCAGTATCCTCCAATAAAAACCCATATGCACATATGTAGCAAAAAGTTGTAAAAGACAGAAGTTTAAAAAATAACTTACATCTGGTTCTAATGTACTGTATCCTCCAGTAAAAACCCACATGCACATGTGAAACAAAAGGTTGTGAAAAACAAATAAAGTAAAATTCACCATATCAAATGTTCATTTTGTTAGTTATAGCTTTACACTGATGTAATGGTGTATCTAGATTTGCAATTCTTACGACCGGAACTATACCATTGCAGCACCATACATCATCTATTGAGAAAATACACCTTTATTATTCTATTAAATATTAAAGTGACATCGAAGCCAACAGATATGACATGTATGACGTATCTATCAACTCTTTGTAGCCTTTTCACATATTCTTCTTCATAATACGAAATTAAACTTATGGGTAGGAGTGTAAAACATTATACATTTCACACATTACATACGCTCTCAAATTAAACACGTTAAAGCCGTCAACTACTGATACCGGTCAAAAGTTAATTATTTAGTGATACAATTACGTTCATTGGAGAACGGTTAATGACCTACATTTACGTCATTTACGTCTACATTAATCAGAGCAATTGATAGTTTCTTGCACAGTAAAATATTTAAAATCTGGTAAAATCGTACCTTTTCAATAAATCTCGATACCGACTTATGACACCTACAGTTTATAAGTGAAATTGGGGCGTCGTAACAAAGATAAAAAGCATTCAGGAGTAACAATTTACATCACATACATATTCGAGTAAACAGTATGAGACTATAAGAAAAAAACTTCTCTCTCTCTCTCTCTCTCTCTCTCTCTCTCTCTCTCTTCTCTCTCTCTCTCTCTCTCAAATAATACGATATTTCACAATGAGTTGTATATGCCTTCAAGAAGAAAAATTCTGTAATCAATTCACATTCCGGAATCAGTTTGGAGCTACAATTATATGATTCTGAAGATTAAGTTGTGCGAGCCTTCAATGGAAGACTGCACCACTTCCCATGGCAATAACGATTCAATCATTTATGGAATTCCTTATTTGTGTCTACATTATATTATCTCATTGCAACAAATTAAAGATAGGGAGGGCTAGAAGCCTATTGAAAAGTCAACGGTCACATCTTTATTTTCTGTTATTTTTCAGCACCTGCGTATGGGGAATTTATATATCTCAACTTTGTTCAATAGAGAGCTGAGGAGTCTTTTGTAGACAAAACGCGCGACCGCCGTACAAAATTCCGGTCTCTTTGATGATTTTTTAACAGGTAAAACGATGTTTTACATTCCTTT